GTCGATTTTCGAACGATTTTTCATTCGAATATCAGACCTAAGAATAATCGGCCGATTTTCGCTCTGTTAGTGGGGCAATGGCATCGGCCAATTTTCATGGTTCCTCCCCATTTTGTTTATCGGGCATGTTGGAAAATTCGTGAAAAACTACCAATTTTTTCGAAATCATTGGTGGCACCATCAGATCACAGAACGAACGATGTTTTTGATTTTCGATCGACAAATTCGTTCGGAATTCGACCCATGTATGGCCTGTTTTAGTCCTCATGCGCACTGGACATTTTTACAGCTGCTGTTTTTGGCTTTTGATGTTTTTTTCTACAGCCATTAAACACCCCAGCATGTTATCCTATGTGTCCATTCACACATAGACTGTAGTCATTGTTTTTTTGGCTGGGAAAAAAAAAAACCCAGAACTAGTGGGTTTTCTAGAGGAGTTTTTTAGCTGTAAAAATGCGATTGGAGGGGGGGTAACGCTGAAAAACACGGTAAAGCGTGGTACATCACCGCAAACCGGCGTTTGTACTTTTTTTGAGCAAAAAAAAAACGCTGCAAAAGTGAAAAAAACGCTGATAAACGCTAATGTAAAAATGCTGAAAAATCTCACGTTTTTTAACGTGACTTTACACAGCTAACATTGCCAGCGTGATTAAAAGACCCAGATTGCATGGAGCCTTGCCCTCACTTTCTGTCCTTCTGACATTTTTACCAGACAGGAAATGAGAGAGAGGTCTCATTCAGATGGGCGCTTACTCCAGGATCTAGGCTCCAGGTGCTGTAGGCAGACATCCCTTTCATGGCTATTAGGAATCTGCTGCTGCATGGACACTTCACTGGTCCCAATTTGATAGCCATGCAAGTGCTGGTGAGCGGCTCCATATGCACACTATCTGCACTTGAGTTGCTCACCTGCGGAATTAGGACCAGTACTGTGTCTGTGCAGCTGTTGCATCCCAATAGACATGAATCGGCTGTCTGCATGCAGCACCTGGAGCCTAGAAACATATTACCCACTTCAATACCGTCACTTTTACCCTCTTCCTTCCCAGGCCAATTTTCAGCTTTCAGCGCTCTCACACTTTGAATGACAATGCAACGCTGTACCCAAAATACATTTTTATCATTTTGTTCACACAACTAGAGATTTCTTTAGGTGGTATTTAATCACCACTGGGGTTTTTATTTTTTGCTAAATTAACAAAAATTTTGAAAAAAAAAAAAAAAACTGAAACACATTTTTTTTGTTTCTGTTATAAAATTTAGCACATAAATAATTGTTCTTCATAAATTTAGGCCAAGATGTATTCTGCTACATTTCTTTGGTGAAAGTAACCCAAATCAGTATTTGTTATTAAGTCTGTAGGAAAGAGTTCACAAACTATGGTATTTATCTGTAAATCAAATGATCCTGAAGTATTGATGACCAATCTAATTTCTTGAGGCCCAAAAATGTCAGGACAGTACAAGTATGACCCCTTTTTGCAAAGTAGACAGTCCAAGGTATTTAGTAGGAGGCATGGTGAGTTTTTTGAAGTTGTAATTTTTTTGTTATAATTTTTCCTGGAAAATATAGAAATAAAAAAAAAATGTTCACAATTTTTTTTTTTTACATGCTGTCACCAGTGCAGTACAGCATCATCATATAACTGGTGTGGTGGGGATTAGGGACACTGACTGGTGACAGTACAAAAAAAAAAACCAAAACAACTTTTTTTTAAAGATTTTTAAATTTTTTTTTTATTACATTTTCTTTCTTTTTTTTAATATTTTTTTTTTCACAATACACTGTGACCAGAGCAGTATAATGTTACCGTAGTAACATTGTACTACATTGGGGAAGTGATCGGTATTTTTTTTTACACATTATAATTGCTTATAACAAAGAATTCGTTTTTTTATAAGTAAGCATTTAACTGAATGAAATCAATTCATTCAGGTTTTTTTTGTTGTGATTAGCTGTGATTGGCCATGGCTAATTACATGACACAGATGGGCCCAGTCTGTACATGGGATCACTGTGACCAATCACAGCTAGTGACATAATTGTATACAATGGATGGCATGCAAGGACACCACCATTATTTCCAATTGTCATGTGACCTGCTGTGATTAGTCACAGCTGGTCACATGGTACTGGCAACGAGGTACACAGCCGATGACAGTGGTCCGAAGTACACAGCTGGTGACAGATCTCACCACAGCGTGGCTGAATCCGGGAAGGACGTCATATGGTGTCACCCTGGATTGACAAGAGTCCCGCTCGGCTGTCATTCTGCTATTGGCAGTAGGTTGTCCTCAACTGAGGATGCCCAGCACCATCTTGGGAAAGCCTTGGTCAGGGGTGCTAAACCTTTTGAAGAGCAAGCGCATTTAAGTGATTTATTAATCAGTCGCAGGCCACAATTAAAATTAAATGGTTAAAAATTTAGATTTTTTTATTTTGAATAGCATAATGAACATTTTCTTCCTGCAGCCACTGAATGCTGGCAGGAGGAAGAGGATGAGAATCCAATTTTCAGCATTTGCAGGAGAAAATAAAGGGGATCAGTTTATGTATATGCCACTGCCACCGCCCCTCCTGTCCAAGTGTAAAACAAAACGTGACAAGGAGGCTGCACGGTTCCTTGGAGCATGGGGGAAGGTGGTCACCATTGCCACCCCTGACACTACACTTGGGGGGGGTGATAAAAACATGTTTCAACTATGGGGTTTTACTGCCACCCAAACTGCCAATGTACAAGCTCTTACTGTCCTGAGGCCTTTATAAGGTTGCTTTCACACCGATGCACTGCTGTTTATCCCCACCACAGGTGCAGCGCAGTGCACCAGCAGCTTTCCTGTGGGTTAGCCATAGACTTGCATTCCTGCATTTAGAATGTAATAGAAGTGTGCTTCCCTGGTTTAAGGTCGTGGGCCACCTCAGAGGTCTTCGAGGGCGACAGGTTGAGCACCGCTGGCCTAGGTTCTGATTAAACTCCCTGGTTGGGAGTTTCTGAGAGAGGTGGCCATCTTGGATGCAGATATAATATATAGGGCACAATCTGTGTCATGGAGGGCCTCTAGCGGGAAGTATAGTTGGACAAAATCCTGCTAGTCAAGGAGAGTTAGACTACAAGGTATCTTGTTCTGTGTCCATTGAGTATTGGATAGGATAGGATGCCGGGACTCTGGAAGAGAGTGACTCCTTCAGAAGACCTGTTTGGAAGTAACCTGTTAGTAGGACATTTTCTGGCTAAGCTTTAATCACCCACCGTGGAAATTTCATCAGACATTAGAAAGAAAGCAAATTGGAGATTTTATTTATTTGAAGAACCATGGTTTCTCCTGAACCATGTAACTACGTCGTACTTGGAAAATTATTATGCTTGTTAAATAACCTGTTGGGACATTTATTATTACATTTTGGCATGGGGTTCCCCTCAAAATCAATATGGATTTTGGGGAACCCCATGCCACTTTTTTTTTGGTGGGGGTAAGTGATGAGGATTGGGGGGAGGACCCCCAGGCAGTTTTTTTTTTCTCTCAGACTTTTCTTGCTGGCAATTCTTTTGTTTTACATTCAGATGTCAGTGGGGAATGTGAAGCTGATGAGGTTGTAAAGAACTCAGCGCCTGGCTTGGCAGCCCTCTCCTTAACAACCAGCTATTGTTAAGGATGTCCATGGCTACTAGCTCCAAATTCATATTAGAATCTGACTTGCCGAGAACCGTTTCTAAATTGAAGCTGAACCGCCGAACAGCTACTTTGTAAATTCACACTGGAAACGGACCTGAAAATCCCACCGTACATGTGTGAACCTGATCTAAAAAAAAAAAGGGTTCTGTGCAAGTTTGAGGTGATGCATTCCAAACTCGCACTGCATAGAGTATAGTGGCATTCTGAGACGTTCACATAGGATGCAATTCATAGCTGGTTTTGCATTGAAGTTGCTGAAAGGCAGTTTGGCGTAGAAGTGGCAAGAAGACAGATTTCCATAGAAGTGGCAGGAAGACATGGTTGCATAGAAGTGATAGAAGGCAGTTTAGTAGAGAAGAGGATAGACAGAATTTTTAGCATACGAAGGCAGATTGATAATCGCAGCAGTACTAAATTCGCATTGAACAAAAGGGGATTCACAATCGCATCCTTGAATCGTATCAGAATCACATCTAAATCACTGAACAACTACCTTTGACAATCACACTGAAATGAAAATCGCACCACATAAAGTAAAACCCTACTGTTCGCCTGCAGCAGGGCTAAATGTAAAAAGAAAACACCTGCCCGATGCCTGGAACTACATGTCTGCTGCGATGTGATTTGTACATCCCTGCTTTACCAAGCCCAGAAGAAAAGGAATATGCTTCTGAGAAAAATAATTGTTTTTCTTTGTTATTCTATTGTTTTTTCTTTAATTTGAAACACATATGCTGCTTCATGCTGATTTGTGTAGGTGTGTATATCAGAGTGGGAGCAGCATCTGTGCCCGCTGCATTGGGTATGCATTGAACACCTGTACATCCCCATGCGGGTAAACACAACCCTCCAAGGGTGTACACTTCAGTATATGCCATGTAAACAAGGCCTAAGTGCTAGCTATTCCCTGCTTTGAAAAAGTGCTTACTGGAAATGTCTACTAAAGATCAATGAAAGAATAGAGACAAACTTGGAAACAGAGTTACCGTATTTTTTGCTCCATAAGACGCACCTGACCATAAGAGGCACCTAGATTTTAGAGGAGGAAAACAAGAAAAAAAATATTCTGAACCAATGGACTGCAGACACAGTACAGGGGGATGACCAGAGACTGCGGGACACAGTGCGGACACAGTACAGGGATGACCAGAGACTGCGGACACAGTACAGGAGATGACCAGAGACTGCTGACACAGTACAGGAGATGACCAGAGAGACTGCTGGGCACAGTACAGGAGATGACCAGAGACTGCGGACACAGTACAGGAGATGACTAGAGACTGCGGGCACAGTACAGGAGATGACCAGAGACTGTGGACATAGTACAGGAGATGACCGGAGACTGCGGACACAGTACAGGAGATGACGGAGACTGCGGACACAGGACAGGAGATGACCGGAGACTGCGGACATAGTACAGGAGATGACCGGAGACTGCGGACACAGTACAGGAGTACAGGAGATGACCGGAGACTGCGGACACAGTACAGGAGATGACCGGAGACTGCGGACACAGTACAGTAGATGACCAGAGACTGCGGACACAGTACAGGAGATGACTGCGGACACAGAGACTGCGGACACAGTACAGGGGGAACAGAGATGACACAGAGACTGCGGACACAGTACAGGAGATGACCAGAGACTGCGGACACAGGACAGGAGATGACCAGGAGAGACTGCGGACACAGGACAGGAGATGACCAGAGACTGCGGACACAGGACAGGAGATGACCAGAGGCTGCGGACACAGGACAGGAGATGACCAGAGGCTGCGGACACAGGACAGGAGATGACCAGAGACTGCGGACACAGGACAGGAGATGACCAGAGACTGCGGACACAGGACAGGAGATGACCAGAGACTGCAGAAATAGTACAGGGGATGACCAGAGACTGTGATGACACAGTACAGGGGATGACCTACTTTATGAATAGGTGCAGCTCCGACCAAGTGGGAACCACACCGATATGACCACTCTGATAGCTGATAATAGGGTGCGACTTGTACGATTTGCAAGTTGCCCGGCATGCAAATCGCATGCCAAAATGCACCTGATGTGCCCGGGGGCTAATAATCACCAGAGACCTAGAACACAGTAAGTTGTCAGATCAATTGATGTCTTGCAGGTTCAACAGGTATATTTTTAGTTATCGAAATTATTTACCGAAACACTCAGTGGTGTATTTAACCAACTAAAAGAGAGCAAATAAGATACAGTACCTTCACCAACAGAGTTTACATACACTTTAACTTGAAAAAAGTACTTTTTGTTTTTGCTCAGGAATTTGTAGCAGAGTAGTATAGTGGTGTTGAACCTTTTTTTTTATAATATATACATTTCTCTCCTTTTTCCATAGAATGTTGCCCTTAGTAGATCATTTGCTGGATGCACTAAACCTGGAGCGCACAACATTCCGAATCTATGCTGTCACTGCATTGTGTCTCTTCTCTGCTGTTATTGTTCTTCGGGCTTGCCTAAACGTGGTCCAGTCTGTGACTGCATATATCACCAACTGTCAAAGACTACGCTGCTTCCCAGAACCTCCAAGGCGAAACTGGTTTTTGGGACACCTAGGATTGGTAAGTACGCACAGTGAAAAGTAAGAGGGTCACCAAAAGAGACATGGTCATCTGGCCATACAGGGCAAAGTGATCAGTGTCTGTGCTGAGCTCCCCCCCGACCCACTTTGCCTGCAGTCAATCTCTGCTCCATTCTCTGCTCCATTCTTTGTCACAGCCATCAATGAAACAGACTATATCATCGACCAGAGCAGTGATATCATTCCTTGGGTCATATGACCGTACTGGGGGTCTATTTATTGACTGTTAGGCCCAGGCACTGTCATAGGGAAGGAGGTCACCTGCTCTTCAATACTCCAAAGCACCTGGTAGTATCATTAGCTGTGATGGAGGAAGGGTCATAAGGAGAGCACTGGCAAAGTTATATATAAGGAGGTCAGGGGGTGCCCCTTGTGGCGACACTGTCAAGCGCACTGCATGGGCATGGCGACAGTGTCTCTTTAACTTCCTTAACAGAATATATTATTCTCTTTTTGTTGCTCCCACCCCACTGCATTCAGCCACCATAGTAATTCCCATATGGAAGAAAAAATATATTTGAAATATATTTAAAAAATATTCTTCCCAAATATATTGATCTATATTTGAAATGCTACAATTGTGGCCATATTCAATATATATATATATATATATATATATAACTGTATGTTGAAATGCATTTTTATTACAAAATATATTTTTAAAAATACATTTCAAATATACTGTATGTCTTTAAAAATACAAATCTACATTTTTGGAATGCATTTACAAATATATGTTAAAATTACTTTTTTATAAGTTAAAAAAATCTGAAGACTATATTTTAAAAAATATATTTTTTAAAAATATATTCAGCAGATTTTTTTTAAGCATATAAAAAAGTAATTTTAACATATATTTGTAAATGCATTCCAAAAATGTAGATTTGTATTTTTAAAGACATACAGTATATTTGAAATGTATTTTTAAAAATATTTTTCATATATTTTGTAATAAAAATGCATTTCAACATACATGGCCGAATTGCCAGCCGATAAATGAAAAATTGGTCGGCGCCGTTGCCGATGCTGCCACCATCGTCCACGAAAAACAGCCGTTTTTCGTGGATTGTCTTGTTTACTTTTATCGGTTATGCTGGAAAATCCACACGATGGTGGCAGTGGCATCGGCAACAGCGCCAACCGATTTTTCATTTATCGGCTGGCAATTCGGCCGATAAACGGCCCGTCTATGGCCTGCCTTAAAAAGACCATGCAATTACCTGAAAATAATAAGCACTGACCACTGGTATTTTGTAACACACATTTTGGCACATTCTTTAAATGTGTATTTTGGCTACTTTTTTTTACAGATTTTAGCATTACTTACATTAATTTTGGCGCTTTTTAACATGTTGTATTTTTTTAACACGCTTTTTGATGTGGGTCATTTTAACATGCATTTTGGTGTGGTTTGTAACGCACATTTTGGCACTTTTCTTAGCATGTATTTTGGCACTTTTTTAAAGTGCATTTTGATTTGTTTTTTTGTGCATATTTGGAACACTGCATATCTGCTATCCACTTTTGGGTGCCATTAACAAATAATGGGACAGCAAACATGACATGCATTTTGCATGCATTTCCAGAACACACACAAATACGGATGTAAAGAGTGAGCCAAAATACATGTTAAAAAAGTGCACATAAAAATTCAACTCAACTCAATCAAAAAACGACAATATACTGTAACTATACTGTATATATGTTTGTGTATACGTATTATATTTATATACTGTACACTATATATAAAACACAAATATACATATATACATACATAAACACACAGTATATAGTTATAATTTATATCAATGTTTAACCCCACTGGTGCTGATATTAGGAAGAAAGAAGCCTTCTTCCTCACATCACAGCAGCTTCTCACCAAGATTATCCAGCTTTGGGCTGGAGAATCTGGGATGGAGATATTTTAAAGAGATGGCCAGTGAGATCTTCAGATCTCACCTTCATAAACTGGCCATCTCTGTAAAAGTGAATGACAGAAGGGTATGTCCTGGGATGAGAAGTGAAGAAAATGTTCTCCGATCCTCACCTCGGCTTCATAAACTGGCACTCCTGAGAGATCAGATGTGATCTTCAGGATCTCAGCTTTTCTCCCTTTCCTAAACGGACATATACGCTGCATATTTAAATTGGATTGGGTCTTATTTCTAACTGAATTCAACCAATGCAGTATGAAACCACTTACTAGTTTGTCTTTCTTACCAGCAGTATATGCCATATGTATCTATTTATTTCAGGTACTTATATAGCACTGTCAATTTACGCAGCACTTTACATGTTGTACATTCACATCAGTCCCTAACCCTAAAGGTGTGCACAATCTAAGGTATTGGTATAATCTTTTGGTAGCAGTGTTGTAATTTGCTTTACAGTGTACTACCCTGTAATACACTGGCTTCAAATCAGGTAATTAAACAATTATGAATAGTTGGACATTTACTAAACTGGAGCACTCAGAATCTGGCACAGCTGTGTATGGTAGCCAATCAGTTTCTAACTTCAGCTTGTTCAAATAAGCTTTGACAATAAAACCTGGAAGCTGAATGGATTCTGTGCAGAACTGCACCAGATTTTGCATGCTTTCGTTTTAGTGCCCGTTCACATATACAGTGGGGCAAAAAAGTATTTAGTCAGCCACCAATTGTGCAAGTTCTCCCACTTAAAAAGATGAGAGAGGCCTGTAATTGGCATCATAGGTAGACCTCAACTATGAGAGACAAAATGAGAAAAAAATCCAGACAATCACATTGGCTGATTTGGAAAGAATTTATTTGCAAATTATGGTGGAAAATAAGTATTTGGTCAATATCAAAAGTTCATCTCAATACTTTGTTATATATCCTTTGTTGGCAGTGACAGAGGTCAAATGTTTCCTGTAAGTCTTCACAAGGTTGGCACACACTGTTGCTGGTATGTTGGCCCATTCCTCCATGCAGATCTCCTCTAGAGCAGTGATGTTTTGGGGCTGTTGCTGGGCAACACAGACTTTCAACTCCCTCCAAAGGTTGTCTATGGGGTTGAGATCTGGAGACTGGCTAGGCCACTCCAGGACCTTGAAATGCTTCTTACGTAGCCACTCCTTCGTTGCCCGGGCGGTATGTTTGGGATCATTGTCATGTTGGAAGACCCAGCCACGTTTCATCTCCAATGCCCTTGCTGATGGAAGGAGGTTTGCACTCAAAACCTCACGATACATGGCCCCATTCATTCTTTCCTGTACATGGATCAATCGTCCTGGTACCTTTGCGGAGAAACAGCCCCAAAGCATGATGTTGCCACCCCCATGCTTCACAGTAGGTATGGTGTTCTTTGGATGCAATGCAGCATTCTCTCTCCTCCAAACACGACGAGTTGTGTTTCTACCAAACAGTTCTATTTTGGTTTCATCTGACCATATGACATTCTCCCAATCTTCTTCTGGATCATCCAAATGCTCTCTAGCAAACTTCAGACGGGCCCGGACATGTACTGGCTTAAGCAGGGGGACACGTCTGGCACTGCAGGATCTGAGTCCCTGGCGGCGTAGTGTGTTATTCGCATTTCCGGGTAGGAGGCGCGCGCACGCCCTACCCGCACCGGCATTTGCGGCCATGGCTGTCAATCACTGGGTCCTGGCCAGTGAGTACTCACCGGCACCGGGTGATTGCTGAGCATCTCTGATGGAGGAGAACTGTTTGTAAACAAAACAGTTCTCTTCCCTTTCAGCTCCTGCACACTGCATTGGAGGGCTGTGCACACACACAGCACACTGTTAACCTTTAACACCTTCCTGCCCAGTGCCATTAGTACAGTGTAAGTGCTTTTTTTTTTAGCACTGATTACTGTATTGGTGTTACTGGGGATGTCAGTGACACCAAGTCAGTTCCCAGCAGTGTCAGAATGCCCCCCGCAGTCCTGCTATAAGTCGCTGATCATCGCCATTACTAGTAAAAATTAAAAAAAATAATAATCCCAGTATATATACCGCCATTTGTAAATGCTATAAATTTCACGTAAACCAATTAATTTACACGTATTGGGATTTAATTTGGTAAAGACATGTAGTAGAATACATTTTGGCCTAAATTTATGACGAAATCTGATTTTTAAAATGTTTTCACTGAACATGTTTAATAGCAAAAAGTCAAAAATAATGTTTTTTTCTCAAAATTGTCAGTCTTTTTTTTTTTATAGCGCAAAAAATAAAAAATGTACAGTCGATCAAATACCACCAAAAGAAAGCTCAATGCCTGGGGATAAAAAGGACATAAATTTCATTTGAGTGCAGTGTTGCATGACAGTGTAATTGTCAGTTAAAGTAACGCAGAGCCGTAACGCAAAAAAAAAGGAAGGGGGGGGGGTAAATCCTCAGAAGGGCAAGTGGTTAACTTATACAGCAACCTTTCTCAAACTATGTACCATTGAAACTATTGTTTGTTGTCAAGGAACCCTGGATAAAAAAAAATCTTCAAATAATGATACATTAGTGCAACCAGAAAATAAGTATGGTAAAATGTGATAGAAGGAGGAATGTGGGAAAACTATGCATTTTTGATACCCAGAGTGGATTTTTAACACTCTCTGCACTATACAACAAATAATTTTTATTAGTATTGAATACTGAATAATAATAATCCCCCCCCCCCCAAAAAAACGGGTGGAATGCATTGATGGTCAGGAAAGAAATGTCCTTTCACATTGGTAGGCAGTGTAACGTCCTGCTCTGAGGGTTCTGCTTTTTTGTTTCCTGTCTTCCAAATAGACTATAAAAGGGTAACAATTGCAAAGGAACATAAAATCAGATAAAAAAAGAAATTGGCAGTTGTGTAAAGTGTGAGATCAGCTATTTCGCAAGCCTGCGGTGCAGTGATGCAACTGAATAAATATACTTGTTGGAGATCACAAACACAGTAACATGATCTTTTTATTGTATACTTTCTGGAGAAGAAAAACAAGTAGAGTTCGCTGCAAATTACAAATATTCTGTAATTTGCAGCTTTCAACATAACCTTTTTTATTTATTCTCTTAAAGCGGATTTCCACTCACACAGTAAAAAAATAATGTAAATGTAAGTCAGCAGCTACAAAAACGGCCACACACCTGCCCCACGATCCCGCTGTGCCCCCGTCGCAGCACGTTTTACTGGCCGTCCTGTATTCCAGGAGGCAGGCATCTTCAGTGTGGGCACCCGGCTGTGACAGCTTGCGGCATCACAGCCGGGTGCCCACTGCACATGAGCGAGTAGCGCTGCGCTTCCTGAATGGTCTCGTAGTCTTGTGGGATCTGCCACGTGTTCCACAAGACTACGGGAAGTGAGGGTAGGAGGACAACTTCTGCCTAGGTGATCACAGCGGAATTGGGAGCAGGTACCTGTCAGTTTCGGGTACCCACTCCCCAAAGGTGCCAATCCTTAATGGGGAGCGGGGGACCAATCTTTAAAGTGGAACTTCCCCTTTTTGGGTGGAACTCCGCTTTAAGGCTATTTGCATTCTAGGCGCTCCTGTGTGTGTTCAATCCCAGCATTTACGGTAAGTGTGCCTGGGAGGAACAGAATACTTGTTTTCTAGCCATACATTTCTGAACGCGTAGGGCCCTAAACATGTGGACCACCCACTACAATGCACATCCCCTATCAGCTTCAGCTGCATTGACTTTGACAGGCTGAAGGCAGTGGAGCTGGACACCTCTGCTTCCCTGGAACACTAAGGTGCCAGGATTGGACCCACATTGGAATAAAGGCCTTGTGTGCTAATACATCCAGAAAGTTAGTAAACTATTGGCAAAGTGACTCTGTAATTGTAAAAGTATGAGTGCTTCTACTGCTAGACTTCTTTTGAAAATGCTACTTGCTTGAGTTTGTTTGGCTTCAATATTTGCATACCTGGAAGAAGCATTCTATAAGGCTCCATGCACATTGGGCGTTTTAATAACGCTGTTAATGTTAGCTGTGAGTTTTTCAGGTTTTTAGAGTTTTTGTATTGGCATTTTGCCGACTTTTTTTTTCGCATTTGTGTTTTTAAGATTTTTTTAGGGTTGTTTTCCCCCCAAAAAAAGGTTTTTTTTTTTAGTAAAAAAAAGTCCAAAAACGCTGGTTTGCCACGATTTACCGTGTTTTTCAGCATTAGAACATTTTTACAGCTAAAAAACTCCTCTAGAAACCCACTAGTCCTGGGGTTTTTTTTCCACCCAAAAAACCTGCCAGAAAATGTTGATTACAGTCTATGTGTCATGGACACATAGGATAACATGCTGGGGGGTTTACTGGCTGTAGAAAAAAGCGTCAAAAGCCAAAAACAGCCGCTGTAAAAACGTCCAGTGTGCATGAGGACTAAGTCAATGTCAAAAAGTTTATTTTCTTTGTAATTGTTATAGACTAGAGGCTCAGCATTAAAGCCAATACATCAGCATGACATCCCAGGAGCTAAAGGAGAGGTCAGCAATGGCAGCCACAATCTTTCTAATGACACTGTCACTTTAGCTGTAAACATTCAAAACGATTATACCGTAAAGACTGTATTCCCTCAACAACAGACTAATATATTAAATACAGGCTGTTTCTTGCCATTAGTAAAAAAAAAAAAAAAATCTCCATGTCATTTACAGCCTAAACAAAGATGACGTGGTTTTTTGGCTAGCTAGTGCTTTTTTGGTGTTAGAGGCTGCAGAAAGTCTGTTTTCAATCAGACAGACCTTTTTTCTTTCATACAGTGAAGGAAATAAGTATTTGATCCCCTGCTGATTTTGAATGTTTGCCCACTCACAAATCAAATGGTAGGTGTATTGTAACACTGAGTGATAGAATAGCAGTAAAAAATTCAAAAGAAATGCATGTCTAACAAATTATGCAGTGATTTGCGTGTTCATGAGGGAAATAAGTGTTTGATTCCCTATCATTCAGCAGGATTTCTGGCTACAAGGTATCTTTCATACAGGTAACAAGGTGAGATTAGAAGCAGTCTCTTAAAGGGATGCGTGCTGCGAATCTCATTTTGTTACCTGTATAAAAGACACCTGTCCACAGGAGCAATCAAACAATCAGATTCCAAACCCTCTACCATGGCAAAGACCAAAGAGCTGTCCAAGGATGTCAGGGACAAGATTGTAGACCTACACAATCTGGTCATTTCTTTGTGAGTGGGCAAAAATTCAAAATCAGCACGGGATCAAATACTTATTTCCTTCACTGTATGTGTACATATAAAGCATTAAAAAGGCTATAGGTCAACATTAAGTCCCCTGGTCACATCGGGTGCAATTTGTCATGCGATTTGCATGCCAGGCCACTTGCAAATCGTATGACAGGCACACCCTATTGTCCGCTATTAGAGCGATTTCTAAAGTATTGCATGCACTACTTTTCTTGTGATTTGCATAGACATCTGTTTTAGATGTCTTGGAAATCGGCAGGTCACCCAATTTTGAAATCGTGTGACTTCAATGTAAGTCGCATGATTTCAAAATCAGCTTTGATGTGTCCTGAGTGTAACTTAACAAACGCTCTGCTTTTGGTGACTCGGGCAAGATGATGCAGAGCCAAAACAGAACAGAATAACTTCACACTCATTACTTGTAGCTATATATAGCTTCCAGATATGTAAACCATTCAGACTTCTTTGTTCCCTAAGGTAACATGATGTTTGGCGACTTCTTTTAGGATCGCTGCTCTGACTTTACAGTGTACACACACATGTACACACACATTCCTGAATCATCCCGTTTACCAACAGACATTCCACAAAAATAAATAACTACATATCAATAAACAATTAGAGTGCTGCATAAATTATAAAACAAAGAAAAAATGTGGCTACCCCCTTAATGATGATATTTTTTACATTAACAGTCTTAAAGAACAGACTGGAGCTCTAGCCAATGATACGTTCTCAGGGTCACACATCAAAGTCTCAATTTAGAATGTCAGCATTTGGTTTCATCCCTCTCTACCTTTCCAGCATAGCTTTTGAAAATGGAGACTGAAGCTGATTAATTAATCATTAAACTTAAAGTGGAATTTTACTCATAACAACTTGATAAAAAAAATGTTATTTAGCAAAGAACATCTATTAATAATTATGCTACCAAAATCAGTGTGTGCTGTAAATTGCCTCCAGCATTGTTTATTTTTCTTCTTGCTGGAGGCTGCCATTTTGCTGAAGCCCAGAGCCCTGAGTAGCATTAAATCTTAAGGGTGTCAGCAGATCAGCCTCTACAAATTTGACACAGTGCCTAAACATAGAGACCAACTGAGCATGTGCAGAGCAGAGCAGAGTGAGACAGTGTATTACTGGATTTTACAGTATAGGCACTTATTTGTAATATTTTACATAGCTATACCTGCAAAAGGGGCCAGCATGATGTGATTTAGCAAGACTTAAAGTGTTACTAAACCCACAACAGTACAATCAGTCTGTATATGCAGTAAAGCATACTTATTATACTCGCTGTGGAACATAAGGGGTTAATCCTCTGCAATGTGTAAAAAGGATGTTTGATCCTGTCTTCTCTGATCTTCCACAGTCCCCAGTCCATCTACTGATAGAACAAAGCCTTGGGGGCAAGCTGCACATGTTCAGTTTTGTGTTTGCTAGAGAGTATTTTTCTTTCTTGGGAGGCTGCATGTGATCAGTGCAGGGCCAATCAGCACTGTCCAGAGAGAGGGTCCGGGGCCCTGCAGCCTTATAGGAGAATGAAAACTCCTCCTACAAGATTAACCAGTGCTCGGCTGGACACTGATAGAAGTCACAAGACTGCTCTAACTGCTGATGAGAAAAGGTATTTATCAGTTTATATTTACTAAAATGTCCATGTTGTGTGTACTGTGAGAGACCAGATACAGTGAATACAGGGTCCTGGGTTTAGTGATACTTTAATTTTCTGACTAAAGTTCCAATTTAAGAAGAGAGGGAGAAGCCAGATTTCTAGTTGAAGTCAAGATTTGCATAATAGAGCACCCTGGGTTTTTGTGGATGCCAAGAGAAGCATGACAGAATTATTGAAGCGACATGATAATGCTGTTTCAAGGTGAGCATACAGTCACTTTAACACCTTATGCTCTTCTATTTTCTGTCTTATGAATTCATTTTTTTTGCTCTTTTCCATTCACCTTCTTCAGCACCTGTAATTGTATCTGCATCTGTGCTGTTGCTAAGCTTCTCTCACTATGGCTCCCAAGGGTGTTGTCCCCTCCTCAACTTTTCCTTGGTACACGCCTAGGTGTCCTTTTATCATGCAGTGGTAAATGACCGCTGCTCAGTTCTCTGGCATTCTCAGAGGAGACAGTTCTCTTCTGAATGCTTTTTTATGAAGTGGTGTAGATTGCTTCTCCGAATAAAGGGAGAAGCGATCTACAAATGCTTTGAACACTAGAAAACGGCTGCTGTTACAGTAATCTCATGAGATGACAGTAAGAGATCAGTCAAACACCGTTTACTAAACTGCGGTAAATTATCGCTGCTTCATTTGCAGTTCCTACGATTCTCCAGCTCTGGGCTGGAGAATCTGGAGGGAGAACACAGATCACAAGTAAAGGGCTGACATCAATCCTTCATACACTGGCCGTCTGTGTGCTGAGATGATCAGCGGAGAACATGTTCACCGCTGATCATCTCTGTTTCCTAAACTACAAATGATCGGAGATCAGCAACAATCCTTAAGATCGTCGCTGATCTGTTTCATAAAAGGACACCTATAGCGCTTACAGATTACCTATTCTAAGATCCCATAAGTGCGGTGTGGTTTTCCACATGACGTTTTTATGTGCGTTTTACACACATTTTTAGGTGATCTACCAGAAAACTCTGAACGCTCCATCTTAGATGCACTTTCATAAAACACCAATAGAGTTGAAATGACAGTGCATCTAAAAACGCGAGTGTAAAGCGAACGTAAAAACACATCATGGGAAACTGCACTACAATGTGAACCCCTCCTTAAAGAAATATGGAGGTTTCCACTGGTGACCTCTTTGTAACAATGCTGGCTGCATACTGACCCAAAGCAAGCATGCAGCCATTGTAGAAAGGACAGTTGCTCTGTAAATCTATATTGGGTCAGGGACACCCAGCCACGCTACAAGTGAGGATTCCAAACTAGAACTATTATATGGTTACTGGTCAGGGATTGCCTGTTCAGAATAGTAAAGGCATGGGGAACAATCTTTTTGTAATATTTTGAATTAAAAAAGGCTATGCACTTCCTTTTTTTTTCAGGGTAGTTATATATTGCATCAGAGATCCAATTTTTCCGAAATTGTTTACTGTGGTTTCGGAAGTTTAACATATGTTTCTTCTTTAGTCCTCATGCACACTGGACGTCTTGATAATGCTGGTAAGGTTAGCTGTGTAAAGTCACATTAAACTCGTGAGTTTTTCAGCTTTTTTTAGCGTTTTTGCATTAGCGTTTAGTGGCGTTTTGCCATGTTTAGCGGCATTGTGCCGCGTTCACGTTTTTAGCGGGGTTTTTTACCAAAAAAAATGTTGTTTTTGGTAACACAAAATGACCAAAAATGCCAGTTTGTGGCGTTTTACCATGTTTTGAGTTTTGTGGTAGATCACCTAAAAATGTGTGTAGAAACGCACATAAAAACGCCATGCGGAAAACCACACCGCACTTATGGGATCTTAGAATAGGTAATCTGTAAGCGCTATAGGTGTCCTTTTATGAAACAGATCAGCGGCGATCTTAAGGATTGTTGCTGATCTCCGATCATTAGTGGTTTTTCAGCGTTAGAGAGTTTTTCCAGCTAAAAAACACCTCTAAAAAACCCACTGGTCCTGGGTTTTTTTTTTTCTTACCAAAAACGTTGATTACAGTCTATGTGTGCATGGACACATAGGATAACATGCTGGGGGGTTTACTAGTTGTAGATAAAATGTCAAAAACCAAAAACAACAGCTTTAAAAACGGCAAGTGTGCATGAGGACTTAGAATCCAAGATAAGGAAAACCTGTTTTGAGTGTTTAAAAGTAAAATTCCTCCCTAATAACAAGCATGACAAAATGTTTGCTATTACAGCACCTTTGCTAGCCAGAAAGAAAAAAAAAAAATCTTTTGGAGGCTTTCATATGGAATGGCAGTTAGCAGTAAAACTACTTTTCAGAGAGGCTCACGGTGGGGTTAATTTACTACAGAGGTAGACTATGTCCAATTTGCAATGTGATTTTCCATTTTGCATAGTGAATTTTTACTCTAGTGTAGTTCAGGGGCTCTTAAATGTAATCTGAGGACCCAAATAAGAAAATTCTTACTGTGGGACCCAAGAAGAGAATTTTTACCAAAATATCTGCAAACCCTTACAAAAACAAAAATGACCATGTAATAAAAACGCAAAAACAATAAGGACCTATTTACATCTCTGTGTTGCAGGAATGCATGGTTCGGCAATGCAGATTACATACTTTGATGCATAGTGATGCAATTCATTTTGATTAATACCCCAACTAGTTACGACAACGCTCATGCATTTCAGTGTGCAGCAGCACATGGCAATGCACTATAGTGTCTTATGGTGTGTTAAAAACTTTGTTGCGCATCCAATGTTAGGAAGTTTTGGCAGCCCATTGATTTCAGTTGACTTGACTTAATGAAACACATGATAAGCGTGACAAAACCTGCCTTGTTGCACTTCACAAATGTAAATGGGCCCTAATTCATCCAGCTGTGTTCAATATATTATTATTTACAGGATTTATATAGCACCAACAGTTTGCGCATTGCTTTACAATATAAGGGAGACAGTACAATTACATTTGAGTACAGAAGGAATATGAGGGCCCTGCTCGTGGAGCTTACAATCTAAAGGAAGGGGGAGGTGATATAAAAGGTGATAGCTGCGGGCGATGATCTGGTGGAGGTGATTCAAGTACAGTTCTTAAGTGGAGGAGGGGTAGGCTTCCCTGAATAAGTGAGTTTTCCAAGAGCTCCTAAAAGCAGACAGGGTGGGGGCTGACCAGACATACTGTGGTAGGGAGTTCCAGAGGATGGGGGAGGCACTGGAGAAGTCCTGGAGGCGAGCGTGGGAGGAGGTGATGAGGTGAATATATAACAAGGGGAATGTAAGGATTGCACATAAGAAGCACTGCAGGACATTACCTATACTGGTGGTATGTTACTATCTTGCTACCCACAACTAATGCCTTACAAGCTGATTCTGCCTCAATCAACTTACTCATTTGTGGTTTAAACACTGTTTTTTTAAGGCTTTTTGCCCTACCTCTAAAAAAAAATCCATGGGTATGTTTTAATACCGAGGTCAAGTTGGATCAATTTAACTATGTATATACTATTCTGATGCCCCAGGAAGCCGTAAATCTCTGCATCAATGGATGCAGACAGGGCGGCTCAGGAGCCAGCGCGCACAGGTGTCCCCATAGAAAGCTGCTTTCCATGGGGGGCACCTGCCGAAGAGGAGGGGCCTGGAGTACTGACAGAGACCCCAGAAGAAGAGGGCTGCTGTCACGTACCTGATTGGAGACTGAAATGACGAGGTCTGCCTCACTTGTGTCACTAGCCCTGACCCCACTGGAAGTGGAACAGAGGGTGTCTAGGGTCCAGGGGGACAAGAGCGCCAGCAGATGTTGTTTGCAGCTCTTGCAGTTGGAGACTTTGGAAGACTGATGAACCTCCGATTCAGACACAGTAGTAATATGTAGAGCTGGTATGGTAGATTGCCAGGTGTGCACCAGAGCAAGGCAGGAAGCAGGGATGGGAGACAGGAGCAGTGTTAAAGGAATAGCCAGGGTCATCAACGGGCGGACAGCGAGGTACCAAACCATAAGCAAGCCAAAGTCAAGAGCAGAGTCGAAGTATCAAGCAGGAGAGGAATCAGAGTCAGGTCAGGAACAAGTTGGGTCAGCAAAAGGAAATCACACAGGAATGAGCAGGAAATGGGGAACAGCTGAAGACCAGTCAGCACTCAGCACAGGCAGAGGCATCTTTTAAATAGTCCGTCTGGCGCCAATCTTCACCGCTGTGCGTGTGCGTGATCGTGCATTTCTGTGCACATGCGCACGTCTATTCACCAGCCGTCTCACGGGAATTCCCTTACAGCTGCTCTGTGCAATCCCATTGCACAAAGCAGGTAAGTATACCTTGTTTATTATTTTAAATAAAAAAAGAGAAAGGTTTAATGTTGCTTTAAGCTTTAGTAATGCCAAGAGAAATAAAGTCTTTGTTGTATTTTTTTTTTTCGTAGTAGACGTTTCTGCTTAGCTTCAGGTCTTTTCACCTCATACATTTTCTGTAAAATTTCCTCCATTTTCCCCCTCATCCAGCACCCCTGCCTTGCACACACTGTAGCCTCCAGTCTTCCAGTTATGCACTAACAAAAATCCTATTTTTGATTTTATTTTCCTTGCACATGATTGGGTATTTAAAGTAACTACCACGTTACCTTATTCAGTAAGCTACATGAAAAGTCAATTTACAAAGTGAACATCCCAGAGTATTTCTGACTGACAATGGTATTCTCTGTTATCTTGTATGACTTGGTATTAACCAGAAACTTTACTTCTACAAATGATTGTCATGTTCACTTTAATGGCCTATCTGATATATTGGGGAACTTGATGTTTGGTTTTGGAACCCATTTGGGGTCCTGGTCTATAGGTTTCACAGCTCTGTATTATAATGATGTAAAATAGTCTTTCCTTATGGAACAATATGGATTGTTGGTCCTCCACTTTCAGGGAAATATATTTGTAAATATAGGGCATAAACAGGTACTACCTGGTCTTATCGCTGATCTTGCACTGCTTATTAATGCTGATAATATGCTTGCAAGCTAACCCATTTTCACTCCTATGCAGTGTAACTTTGCTGTGTGCCATATCTTTGCTTTTAGATTTTACCTAATGAAGAGGGGTTGACTGAAGTCAGCAAGCTAGTCACAAATTTTTCCTACACTCTGAAGTCATGGTTCGGACCTACCTTGCCGATAATCTCGCTTGTTCATCCGGACACAGTTAAACCAATGGTAGCAGCTTCAGGTATTGTATCAGACGTCTGAAGAAGTGTCACAGTTTCACCCACAAATAATTCTTTTTATTTTTTTAAACCTGAATTAAGAACAAGAATGATGTTCACAGGTGTGTTTTTCATTTGTGAATATTCAAGATATGATTATGAAAAAAAAAACTTAGAGACTTAGTTAGCTACATTCCCCAAAATTTACATCCTAAGCAGAGGTGGACTGACCTAAGCAGCCTTTTCTATACTAAAGCCACAACTTTTATATTTCTAAATGTTCTGCATGAGTCCCAGACATAATATTGTGGTATTATCCCTTCAAAAAAGTGCAGCCTATTTGAGTTTTTTCTCTACTTGTCTATTCAATGAACCTCAAACAATGATGTATGACCCAATTAGTCATATTCTAACTCTCATTTTGTGTACTAATGTGCACCCAAATGTTTAAAGCAGACTGGTTACACCTCTGATGCTTTGGGGTTGATTTGCTAAAAATAAACATTTTTATTAAACTGTAAGTTTGGAGAGCTTCCGTAGCTAGCCCACCGAATGGGTCAATCAGCTGAATGCTTTTTCCTAGAGATGATTGTTGGAGGTAAGGGGATCACTGACATTACAGTTCAGAATCAATTTACTAAGAAGTGTTTTTCACCCTAGCATTAAAATGTTCTTTGACCTGATTGGGTATTTAAAGTCTGGGTTTCATGAAAGATGCGTAGGTGCTTTTACATTGACATATCTATTGCTGAATATTGTGTCTTGCTGCAGTTCTTTTGTTCACAAAGTATAGTGTATTTACAGTCGGAATACATTCTTACTTTATTGTTTACCTTTAAACACTGGGGTTGATATACTGAAGGCAAATTGACTGTGATCTTTGCAAAGTGCAGTTGCTCTAGAGCTTAGTAAATGAGATAAAGCTTCTCTTTGCAAAGAATACCCAATCACGTACAAGGAAAAAGAAAACAGCATTTTTGCTTGCACATGATTGGATGCTGGAAGTCAGCAAAGCTTCTTCTCATTTACTAAGCTCTGGAGCAACTGCTCCTGCAAAGTGCACAGTCTATTCACCTTTAGTAAATCAACCCCATTGTGTTTTTATATATGTGCATGTTTGCGTTTCCATATTTTCACCGATTTTGTATCTGAGTGTAAAAATTTTGCATCTGTTGAAACAAACTACTGAATTTTAGGACCCATTCACATTTTTGCCTTGCGGTAACTTTGTAGAAACTGCATAATTGCAATATATGCTGTGCAGTTCATTTTGAATGGCACCCTAACACTCTAATTCAATGCACATCCAATGTCTCCTGCACTGTAATGCGCCGTATTTGTAGTGAGCTGGCAGATTTTGAACGGGAATCTGCTCTGTTATTTCCGAGGTTTTTAAATAGGAGTTACCCTAAATTGTCTCTCAATAGGGCTCATAATATTACCAAAAATAGGAATAGAATGGATATGTCACAAGATTAATAAGGTAAAAAAGAATAGGAGTAACGCAGATGCCTGTCCCTCTCTAGTATTGTCATACAGTATGGAATACTATTTAAGCAGAATTGGTAACATTGTTAACAAATATTTGCCAAGTTTGTTTAACCACTTCCCATACGGCCCATGTACATAAACGGCCGGACCTGAGCAGTGAAGGAGCGGGTTGCTGTTCATAAACAGCGCCAGCATTTACAGCCTGTGCGCTCTCCCTGGGAGTGTGTGGCACCGTGATCCGGTGCCCGCTGTGTCCGGAGGTTCTAGTGAGGTCTCAGTCATGTGATCACTGATTGGCTAATCAGTGATCACATGAATAGTAGTAAGCAATGATGTCACTTGCTGACATCATTGCTTACTACATGTGAAATCTGTGAATGATCACAGAGATCACATGGTACAAGGCTATTCACAACAGCTTTGTACCATGTGACAAGCTGTGACCAATCATAGCTCTCACAGTATTTCTCAATGGCTGCAAGAATTCAGTCAGAGAGAAGGAGAAATGATTGCTTTTACAGCTTTTATGGGTATAAAAGCAATCAGTGTAAAAAAAAAAAAAAATATTCATCACCCCCCACAAGTAGTACAGTGTCACTATGGTGACACTGTACTACTAGGGTGACAGTATGTAAAAAAAAAAAACAAAAATAATAAAAATAGAAATGTAAAAAAAAAATAAAAATTATAATTTTTGGTTATAAACTAATTTGGGGTTTTTTTTTTTACTAAAAAGATAACTGAATCAATTTTGGCCAGTATTTATGAAGAAAGATTTATTTGCAAAATTTTATAAGAAAAACACTTTTTTAAAAATTTTTGGACATTTTCATTTATATAGCAATATAAATAAAAATCCCAGTGGTGAATAAATACCACCAAAATAAAGTTTTATCTGTCTCAAAAAAATGCTAAAAAAGTCATATGGGTACAGTGTTGCATGACCGCGCAATTGTCATTCAAAGTTTGATAGCACTGAAAGCTGATAATTGGTCTGGACAGGAAGGGGGAAAAGTGTCTGGACTTGAAGTGGTTAATGATTCCACTTGTTCAGAGGTCCTTGGGAATTGTATTAAGATGGTGGCAAGAAGTGCTTGTTCTCTCTCTGGAGACACAATCTGTAAAATCTGCTCCATACAGTATGTGGGACACACTACCAGGAGGCTCAGGGATCGTTTTCGAGAACACCTTAGTGACATTAAAAAAAAATTGCTCCACTAATGTAGCCAGGCACCTTAGCGCTTTTGCTACCAGAGAAGTTTTTGCATTTTTTGCACACTTTTAAAAAAAAAAATAATTTTAGGCCTGAAGATTACACAAAATGCCAAACATTATATATTTTCTGAAAGTAGGCACCTTAGATAATAAAATAGTGGTAGTTCCAATTTTTTATATAACACAATATTACCGTGAAGGTCTAGGAAATGCAAAATGTTAGTAAAAAACATACTAAATTGAATTCTAGGGCAAACAAACGCAATAAATTACCCGCATTTTTGGTAAAATATAAAAGTCGAGGTTGCGCCGAGTAAATGCAGAGAGTAATATATCATCAATGCACAAAACAGGACTAATGATCCTTCTGGTAAACTATGGTGCATATCATATGATAGTCTAGGTAAAGTCTATAGAGTCCTATTATGCACAAATGGCAGCCATCCCAGAGTGAGCCAGCTCTGTATTGTGGAAGAAACGAGAAAAGGGAAAATGCACCTCTAAGTGCAGTATTCCAATGACATTTATTAGAGCTATGGTTAAAAACACAGCATAAAAAAGGTATCAGTTCCCATCAGCTACAATATGGGAAGAAGTAGAGGCGTAGTGCCATGTTCCACAGCCTGCCGAATCCGCCAAACTCTGTATAAAACCGCTTGTAGATAGAAGTGAAGCTTCTGGCTGCTGCAGCCAAAAACTGAAAGTTCCCATAACCAGCATGGAACTCACTTGCTGGGCGGAAGTAACGTCATGGGTGGGGAGAGAAAGGGCACCAGGAGAAAGGCTACATGCTCGGAGCTTACTGCTCCTTCTAAATTGAAGACAGTCATCATCAAGTGGAGAAAATATGGCCAACAGTGACATTAGAATATATAAAAATCTGCGCTAAAAAGTGAGATAAAAATGAAAATGCAAAAATATAGCAGCTGAACATCCTGGTACCAGGCAATAATAATATACATATAAAGTGCAGCGCTTAACAGAATACCAAACCGTTAGTGAAACAAAATTGTAATTAAAAAAATATTGATAGAATTGTCCGTCTAGAGTTGTCAAAATAATGTAAAGTCCCCAAAGATCGTGATGAAACAGGAAAAATCCAAGGACAGCTGATGTGTCACCAACCACTCACTTAAAGGCTTACCAGAGAGATGTGACCCCTTGTTAAGAGTGGTCAATCGCGCTTTGTTGTAAGATAACCCAGAAGGTTGGAAAGCCGGATTCTCCTCTGGACTCCCAAGGGAGAAAAGCCAAAGATCCTCCAAGTAATGATCCCTAAATAGGGTAGCTAAACTACTCCGGTTTGGACCTAAATAGGTATTAGGAGACATGCAAGAGAAGAATGCTCTACATAGTGTAAAACCAATAAAACAATGTTAATTTTAAAAATTGTTACACTCACATGAAAGTGGACATAGATGAGCATGTAAAAGCAAAAAGTCAGATTCTTCCAGCATCTAAAATGGCTGCCGGCCGGTCGCTCATGCATGGTACCTTGGTGTGCGTGGCCCTACACGTTTCGTCATAAGTGACATCATCCGGGGCACACCTACACGTCTTACCACATTCCTTATATAGGACCTAAAGCCCCACAGTGATTGGCCACAGTTTGCAGGAGAAAGCAGGAAACACACCTGTAAACTAATTGTTCTATCAATCAATCAAAGATATTTCCATCTAAAAAACAATACTGAACCACTGATTTGGGTGTAATACTGATTTGGGTGTAAAAAATTACTTATGGCTCCACTCAGTGGTTCCGACTCCACTTTAAGGACTGCCCCCCCCCCCGCTCCCCATTAAGGATTGGCAGCTTTGAGAGGAGCGGGGGGGGGAGCGGGTACCCGAATTTGACAGGTACCCGCTCCCACTTCTGGTCCGATTGCCTGCCTCCCTCCCTGTAGTCTTTTTGGACACGTGACAGGTCCCAGAAGACTACAGGACCATTCACGAAGCGCAGCGCTACTTGTGCATGCGCAGTAGGCACTAGGCTATGAAGCTGCAAGCTGTCACAGCTGGGTGCCCACACTGAAGATGCCGGCCTCCTGCAGGGGACACACCACGGGACCGAGGGACAGGTAAGTGGCTGTTTTTTAAAAGTCAGCAGTGACGGTTTTTGTTGCTGCTGACTTTTATTTTTTGACAGGGTGAGTGGAACTCTGCTTTAAACATATATTCACTAGTAAGCCAGCCTATTCAACTGGTTGCTACTAATGTATTGAGGCGCCATCTAGTGTTTAAAAAAACACACAGATACCACGGTGATGTCTTATAATAAAGAAACAAAATGATATAAAAAATAATTAATAAAATATTTAAACGTAAATATATAATTCTAATTATATTAATGGATCAAATTTTACATTTTAATAAATCATTATGACTTAGGGCTCGTTCACACTTGACTGCCCCTATAGCATTTGGCAAGCGTTGGCCCGGCTTTTGCGGAGCGTTTTTTAACGCTCGGCAAACGGTCCACAAACGCCGACGGTTGCTAGGCGTTTGCCGAGCATTAAAAAACGCCCCCACAAACGCCTATAATGAAGTTTGAATGGTGCTACCGCTCCGCAAACGCCCCGCAACCACATCGCAACAGCACCGCAAACGCCGGTTGGGCGTTTGCGGAGCAGCACCATAGACTAAAATAGGAGGCTTCAACGCCTCCTGACTCGACCAGAGGCATCCGTTTTGCCACGACGCGATGCTAACGCTCCCGTTAGAACAGCACCATGTGCTGCAATGTGCAGAATTGTCAGAGGCGTTTGGGAAGCTGTAAAAACGCTTCCCAAACGCCTCTCTGCTGCCTGCACACAACGCTAGTGTGAACGTAGCCTAACAATGTTAGAAACATTTATATATACCAAAATACCAATCAATAGATACCAATCCTCTGTGACTAAAGATCAAAGAAGGACACAAAGAATAAAAATACAACAAGTTATAATTTCAACTATTATTAATGAAACAATGAATGTCCCATTCAATATTGAGACCCCATGGTGCATAACTCTTAAGCCGATATATCCAGCTTTAGAAATGGTTCTTTTTCTGTTACTACCTTGCCAGTCTGGGATGTATTTCTCCAGGGCGATAAAGGTAGTACCCTCAGGGTGGTTGTTATGTTTCAAAGCATAGTGCTTAGATACGCTATGTTCCTTAAAGCTCTTTCTTATATTAGCGATATGCTCGCTTAAACGAACATGGAGCATGGAGAGCATGTGTTGTGCACCCTACATATTCCAAACCGCATGGGCATTTCAACATGTAAACTACATGTCTAGTTGCACATGATATGAACGACCGTATTTTATATGGTGTGCCAGTTTGTGTGCCAGTAAATTCGGTAATTTTCCTACCTTTTAAACGAGTTAATTTGGCAAGCTTTGCACTTTCTACAAAGATGGTAACCCTCTAAGTTGGCAAAGAACCCTGGTCTAATAGGTGGATCCGGCACATTTGGTGCTACTTTATTCCTAAGGTTCCCTGCATCCCTAAAGATGACAGTAGGATGTTCAGGTAAGATAGGACCTAAAATGTGGTTAGACCAATGCTTTCAGATGATATTTTTAACAACATAATGTTGACTTGAAAAGCTGGTGAAAAATGCCAAATTAAAGCGATCGAAACTACCCTGAACAACTTCTTTATCCCTATTGAGATTGTCACAATTATAATGACCCACCTCACTAAGCAGTTTGTCTAAATCCTCCACTGTGTATCCTTTATCCAGAAACCTTGATTTCAGTATCAGGGCTTCTCTTTCATATTTATCTCTAAAGGTGCAGTTACACCTCAGATATTGAAATATCAAGAGTGCTGTAATAAAATCAAAAGGTGCTTCAACAGTATTGAGCAAACTGTTGGCGCTATATAAATCCTGTATAATAATAATAATAATAATAATAATATTAGTTTAAGGGTGTGCACACTTATGCAACCATATTAGTTTAGTTTTTTATTTTTACTGTCTTCCACCTAAAAGATTTCAGTTTGTTGTTCAACTGAGTTGTACAGTTTATAGGTTACATTAAAGGTGGAAAAAGTGCTGAAATGATTTATCTTTGTCTCATTTTGTTACATCACAGAAACCTGACATTTTAACAGGGGTGTGTAAACTTTTTATATCCACTGTATATCTTTTGTGCTACTTTTAAGGTTTACCTTTCTTCTCCTAAGTAGGTATAGTATTAGTGTGTATATCTAATTTATGTCAGTAATTGTGGAGGTTCAGACATATTCCATCAGTCCCCCTAGGGATAAATTAGGGTTTAGGAACATTTTTTTGTTTATTATAATATTGTCTAATATTTGTATAAAGTGAGTAAATTCAGATACATAATATACAATATTATTGGATGTTTATTAGGATCATTATATTTATTGTTCTCAAGAGTATTTATGCTCATAGGTATGCGATTTTGTGTGAATGTTTTGTACACATTTTTACAATCTTTGTATTATTCTAATGTTTTATTGATCTTTATGGAGTAAAGATGTAAGCCATTGGTTAAGTACAATTTTGTAAGCCATTGGTTAAGTACAATTTAGGAAGACAGTAGTTAACACCTCATTGAATTCAGCTGATAAGAAGCATATTTAGAGAGACCCATGATAGGTGTTTTTTGTTATGACTAAGCACTTTTAGTGTGAAATGCGTTAACATCTACTGCTGTCCTGTATCTGGGAACTGTGACTATTTTGTGCATGGATTTTATATAATAAAATTTGTATCTTCCTGGCCATTGGAGCGCAGTCAACCTTTACTTTTTGTTTGTGTTGCAAATCATTCTCTGATTGGACAAGGTAGAGAGGTGTGGTGGTGATGTCACGCTCTTCACCACCCCCAATCAGATAATGCTTTTGCATTCATTCAGAAAGTGTAAAGCATTCTCTGAATGGATCTGGTGCCAAGCAACCAATCTAATGTGTTCAGAATACAGCAGGGTAACTGCCTGGACCTAGGAGCAAGAAGAGTATCAATGTAAGTTATTGTTTTCATTTACTTTGTGAATAAGAGGAAATGTATGGCATGTGTAACTGTGTAATTGAAAAGTAGTTTTAAAATAGTCTGCTATGTACAGTTGTATATTAAATATTTCCTGCTATAACATACTAGTAGTTTTCAGCTGAAAGTGTTATAAAGCAAATGTTGTTCTGGAGTTTCCTTTCCCAAATATATAGGGCGTAGGGGTTGTTTACTGATAGAGGAGCAAAGAAAAGATCTCAGGGCCACATTTAAACTTACCATTTTTGGAGAGCCAGGGCCACAGTGAAAAAAAAATAAATTAGGAAAAGTTTTGTTCATAATATTATTTACTGTTTTATATACAGTAATTATTAATAATTAAATAATTATTCTATATAAAAAAAAAGCTGAAAGCCAAATGGGAATCATTGCTCTAAAAAAATACAAATGGAGTCTCATTAGCTACCATGTACAACACATCCACTAGGGTTTATAATCGGGCTCAACTTTCCAGATCTGCGGACCTATTAAAGTACATGTAAACCCTACCTGAAGTGACATTTAGATTGCTAAAGTCCTGGTTATCATAAACATTTTAATTGTTTTATTTCTAAAATACTGGTTTTACCAATTTTCATTATTTATTGCACATCAACATCAGCACTGGAACATGCCAGTACATTGTGGGGTTGATTTACTAAAACTGGAGCGTGCAAAATCTGGTGCAGCTGTGCATGGTAGCCAATCAGCATCTAACTTTAGGTTGTTCAATTAAGCTTTGACATAAAATTAATTGGAAGCTGATTGGCTTCTATGCAAAGCTGCACCAGGTTTTGCACTCTTTAGTTTTAATAAAATCAACCCCTGTGTATTAGCAAGGTCACTTGTAGTTCCTATTGGGAGAGCATGTGACAGGGTGACAATGCAGGACAACAATTGAAAGACTGGGAAAGAATGTTGCCACCCTATAATTTGAAGTGGCTGCAAAGGGTCCTTCATGTCAGAATCATAAGGTATTCTTTTATTGAAAGCTGCAAATCTTAAAAGACTGAAAATATGTACATGTTAAGACTCACATGAGATTTTAGAGATTGGGTTTACATATACTTTAAATGTGCATGCATGATTGCTATCCATCTGACTGTTACTTCCCACTAATCTAGATCAAAGGTACAGAAGAAGGATTACTGGTGGCAAATGATCTGGTGAAGAAGTACGTCTATGCCTGCTGCTGGTGGTTTAGCCTTTACTATCCTATCATCAGACTTTTCCACCCCACTAGCATTAAATCAGTCCTGCAGGTTCGAGGTAGACTATTGCTTCCAAGTCTTCTGTATCATTGTCGCCTGCTTCAGTTTATGTGCTATGACTTTTTCCAGCTGGCTGGTGTGCATACTGAATAGACACTCATGTTAGTAGCATACATTGTAAGACATGCATGAAAAATATGACATTTGTGCTCTGTTATGCTTATGGTGCTGAACCCCAAATCCTGCAAATAGTAGGCAATTACTTTTTCCAGCACACCTATGTGCTTTTTTAGCTTCACCCTTACTTTTGCACTTTTATCTTTGTTGGCAAAGATGTAAATACAGTGAAGAGGAATCATTTGAGGGATTGCCCTACTTTGCTACATACAGTACTGCCCCACATATCATCCCTAAATGGAATGCAAGATGACAGAGAAATCAGTGTGTCCTTAATATTTAGTGTCCATAATTACATTTTATAAAGAAATTTGCTGGAGAAGCACCTTAAGGGAAACCTGGACTATATTATACTAGTGCTCCAGCTGTCATTCTGGTCAGTTGGCTTCAACACTGTCATTGACCAAGAAAAAGTATGCAAAGTAGCTCTGTTCATAAAATGACCATACACTAGAAGGATTTTGTTTGAAAAGTTCAGGAACATTTATTGTTGAATCATTAGTGAGGCTGAATCGAGATTTGTTTTAGACCGCAATGACAAGAAAATTTAAATAGTCACCTTCTTATAGTCACAGCCAATCTGGTTGTTTTTTCCCACAATAACAGCAGAAGTAAAAATAAAACCCAATTCTTGGGTGTTTAATGAAGCTAATGTTATGGTGACCATCTCCAGCTTTACATTAAAAAGGGTAACAAATAGGTTATCATTCAGTGTAAAAAGATATCCGATAGGTGAGAATTCAGATTTCAATTTCTTAATATATTAACTGTTTCCTTTACATGCCTCTATACATTTCCTAGTGATCTACTATTTCTGATTCATTGTGATGGGACACCATTGTCTTGTTTGTCTGGTCATGTCATATGCATACATGTTTAATTTATGAATCTTGATTGTTCCTGAATTGCTAAACTTGATTTTAATGGGTTTATGCTACAGGGTAACCTTTTAAGGTTCAATAAAGAAATATATTGTGATCCCACAGAGCAGAGTTTGGTTGAAATGCCTTAAAGTCAAGATGGGGAAATGAGAAATGTCTCTTACAAGAACTGGCAGTGTGATTATTGCTGTCCATGCCCTTCTGTCCTAGTGACAACCATACTGATAACTCTTGTACAGGTGTCACAGGGGCAGGACGGGAGGTAAAATCTCACCAGTCGGGTTCCTGACAGAAATTGTAACTCTTTCCCACTCTATCCAAACCTAAAACAGATTTGGCTGAAGTTAAATGTGAATTTTCATCATATTACTCTATAGTACATAATAATACAGCTATGTGTAGGCCTAAACGTTCAGAGGAACTTCTGTCTACCCAACTTGAAACATTTCCACTAGCCAGTGAGCTTGTGCTTACACTCCTCAGACCAATATCTCTCATCGTTATTTCTCTAATAGACCATTGTTTTTAACATATTTACCCTTACATCCCTAAGGTAATTCACTGACAAACTCATGTATGTCTGTGCAAGTGCTGATGTGTTTTGTATGAATGAATGCAAAGGCTTACTTGCTCTGTTTTCTCTGATCTTCTCATTTGATTGCAGAAGCAGCTCACATTTAATAAATCAAACTTGGAAAATGTTTGTTTTAAAAGCAGTATTAATCCCATTTAAATTTTTCGAAGCTAAGATATTAATATGTACCAGGGAAATATCAGAAAATATTCCCCATCCCCAGTACATTTTTTACTTCATATATCTGACAGTCACTACACTGGCATCAGCTCCAGACCTATACGTAGCTTCCTTGAACTTCCTTCCAGGGACATTGCGCTCTTTGTAACAACCCACAAAAAGCAGCAGATGTCCATTTATTGGCAGGAGCAGGGTAGTGGCTTGCCATTATAAAGCTTTGGGGCTGTGTGTTTGTGTGGACATGCACAGCTTAGGGAAGGGAGCACACATTCAAAGGTAGCTCACTAGGGTAAGGGCACACCCTGAAAAGTGAAAGTATGACTATCACAGAGTGGACCTTCTGAATGCAGAAGACAGGAGAAATGCAGTGCATCAAGAAGTCGCATTTACTTGTAAGTCTACACCTCAAGCAAGAGTTGCTTAAAATGGTAATACTTTAATATCACTTTAAACAGCAGAATTAAATTCCACATTTTTTTTAAATGGGTCTGTTAGCCATAATGTACTAGTATGCAGAGAATATTAGCAAATAATGGCAGTTTTACCTGTCTATCTTCTCTCGGTCTTCCTTCTGAGCGGACTATTGGGCCGCTGATTGGCCAGGACGTAACAACATCACTCCCATGCATGCTGCTGGGAGTCACATCATTACGACACAGATCAGTGCCCTAAACGTATGCTGATCTGCGCATGCACGGCTCAGTGTACATTAACGCTGACAGGCAGGGAGAAGCAGTTGTAACGGAAGAAACCAAGAAAAATCTTAAGGCTAGGTTCACATCTGTGCCGGTGGTGCCGCTGCAGATCCGCACGAAAATCCATGCATGCAGCCGCACCACCCGCACAGAGGACTGCGGACCCGTGGGCGGATGCCATTAGTTCTAATGGCATGTCGGCCTCACTGGAAAGTGCAACCGTACTGGGAAACGAGGTTCCCGTGCGGGCTGCACTTCCAAAGAAGTGCAGGGACTTCTTTCCTGCATGTCACAGGGCACGGGAGTCCATTCAAATGAATGGGCTCTCGTTCCCACGTAAAACACAGCACCGCATATATGTGAACCAGGGGTAACTGTCAGTTGTTGTTTGCTTTTTAGGTTCAATTCTGCTTTAAGCTTCTACTGCTTGTCAACCCAAACATGCAATATTTGTGATTTACTGATTTTTTTTTCAGTTCTAATATCTGCTTGAATCAGAATACTTGTTTCTCTTCTATATTTTGTATTTTGACATGCCTTGGCCCTTTTGATTCTAACACCTCACACCAGACCCATTCTTCTGCAGCATAACTGCATGGGGGACATTTACTAACACTGGAGCACACCGAATCTGGTGGAGCGGCACATAGTAGCCAGTCAGCTTAATAAATTAAGCTTTAGCATTAAAACCTGGAAGCTGATTGGTTCGATGCAGAACTACACTAGATTTTGCACTCTCCAGTTTTAGTAAATCTTCCCCATGTGACTACTAATGTAATACAAATTACACAGATATAATTGTGATATATACACACCATGATATCCATGGTGAGTGCCATGAGGTTGTTTTTGAGTCTAACACCATATTACTTTTGATAGCTGACCTCTATTTAGCTAGACCTTCCAACTCATTTTATAACTCCTTCCATACACTTCATTGATCCTCTGCACTTCTACATATGATACATCTGCCTCTCTCACGCTCTTCCTACCTCCCATAGGAATGATTCTCTAACAAGCAGTGAATATTTGCATATTCCGCTGTTTAGCCCCTTTTTTTGTTTAGCCCCTTTTTATTGCAGCAAACTTGACTTGTTATCATTCATAATCTTTCATATGTATTTTTATTGAAATGCAATGGGCACTTTTCAGAGATCTATTATTCCTATTTTCCAGCTCTCATTGCCCCAAAAGATGAACTGTTCTATGGCTTTTTAAAACCTTGGCTAGGTAAGCTTTTAATTACATTTTTGATTTGAGAAAAAAAAAAGAAAAAATATATATATTTATCTGTGTGTATAATAAATATATAAATTAAAGGATCACTTTTTAATCAGAGTATAGCATTAAGTCAGTTAAACTCCTGGGATATTGATCTGGTCGGTTAAGTAGCAGAGGAGGTTGTTTTCAGCTGCTTTGGTGTTAATGAAATTAACAGCAGGTGCACTAGATGGGCAACAATGAGATGACTCCCAAAACAGGAATGGATTTACAGGTGGAGGCCACTAACATTTTTGTTGCCTGCTTATCTTTTCTAAGTGTTTTTCACTAATTTTGCATTTGGCTAGGGTCATTGTTTCTACTGGTACTATGGAGCGATAGCTGGACCCTACAGAGGTTGCACAGGCAGTCCAACTCCTCCAGGATGGCACACCAATACGTGCCATTGCCAGAAGGTTTGCTGTGTCTCCCAGCACAGTCTGAAGAACATGGGGGAGATTCCAGGAGACAGGCAGTTACTCCAGGAGAGCTGGACAAGGCTGTAGAAGGTCCTTAACCCATCAGCAGGACCAATATCTGCTCCTTTGTGCAAGGAGGAACAGGATGAGCACTGCCAAAGCCCTACAAAATGACCTCCAGCAGGCCACTGGTGTGAATGTCTTTGACCAAACAATCAGAAACAGACTTCATGAGGGTGGCCTGAGGGCCGACGTCCTCTAGTGGGGCCTGTACTCACTGCCCGGCACCATAGATCACGATTGGCATTTACCATTGAACACCAGATTTAACAGGTCCGCCACTGGCACCCTGTGCTTTTCACAGATGAGAGCAGGTTCACCCTGAGCACAGACGTAAGAAAGTCTGAATAAGCTGTGGAGAATGTTATGCTGCCTGTAACATCGTACACCATGACTGTTTTGGTGGTGGGTCAGTGATGGTCTAGGGAGGCATATCCATGGAGAGACACACAGACCTCTACAGGCTAGCCAATGGCACCCTGACTGCCATTAGTTATCGGGATGAAATCCTTGGGCCCATTATCAGACCTTACGCTGGCAAAGTGGATCCTGGGTTGCTCCTGGTGCATGACAATGCCCTGCCTCATGTGGCAAGAGTATGCAGGCAGTTCCTGGAGGATGAAGGAATTGATACCATTGAATGGCCCCCATGCTCGCCTGACCTAAATCCAATAGGACTCCTCTGGGATATTATGTTTCGGTCCATCCGATGTCACCAGGTTGCACCTCAGACTGTCCAAGAGATCAGTGATGCCCTGGTCCAGATCTGGGAGGAAATACCCAGGACACCATCCGTCTTCTCATTAAGAGCATGCCCCGACGTTGTCAGCATGTTGGGGCCATACAAACTACCATTTTGAGTTGTTGCAGTGAAATTTCAGCAAAGTGGACTAGCCTGCTGCATCATTTTTTCACTTTGATTTTCAGGGAGTCTTTGAATTCAGTCCTCTGTAGGTTGATAATTTTCATTTCCATCAAACGATGGGGCATCCTTATGTTCCTAACACATTAACCAGTCCATATCAGTATAGATTTCCAATGTTCTCAAAGTGTTCCTTTCATTCTTTTTAGCAGTGTGTATATATATATATATATATATATATATATATATGCACACACACACACACTGTATACTGTATATGTGTGACTACTTCATCAAAGTTCACAGTACTATGTAATTACATCTAAGGCGCATTGATAAATCAAATAATAATGAGCGATAACTAAATGAAATGGCATGCATAATAATGAAATATGTTTACTCAAGATAATTTTTTTTTTTTTACATGTCATGTTTTATCATGTAGGCGATGGTCTTCTTCTCAGTCGTGGTGAGAAATGGAGTCAGCACCGCCGTCTCTTGACTCCTGGATTTCATTTTGATATCCTAAAAAATTATGTTACTATCTTCAACAAAAGCACTGATATCATGCACGTAGGTTCAACCTTTCCAAAATATCTGTAGTATCACAACATTCTCTGTGGTAGGTCCCTGGTTCTCAACCTGGAGTATGCATGCTCCTTGGAGTACATTGACATGTCAATGGATATCTGAGGGGCTGCTTTCCGTATGGAAGATCAGTGAGAACTGGTGCAAGGGTCATAATGTGGACAGTGTCCTCCATAATGCCACATATTATGGGAACAGTACATAATATGGCCATAAGGAGGGTAAAGTGGTATTAAACCCAAAAGCAAACATTTATTATAGTGCAGCTTACCTATTCTCAGATATGTTGGCTGCATTACGTATTTAGGCTTTTTCCTTTATTTTCACTTGATGATCCAGCCAGTAAGTCTTATTTTTCATATTCATTTAACAGTCCAAGCTGTTAAGGTAGCTTGAAACAAACAATGTAGCACTGACAGCGGTGCGTACAATGATCATCTTTTATTCATATATGTAAAACCTTTGTCTCAAAAGGAAAACATGGTTTATGTAACTGCTTAAAAAGTGTTAGCTGGAGCTCAGCTTTATTTGTAAGTCTAGTCCATCTACTGTAAATCTGCACCTAACACTATCCTCTCTGCAGCTGATAATGCTGCTGTCCTAAAGGGGTTTATTTCCTTAAGCTGAAGAGTGCAAAATCAGGCTCACTTCTGCATAGAGACCAATCAGCGTCCAGGTTTTATTGTCAAAGTTTAACCACTGGCCAACTGCGCTATAGCCGAATGACGGCTACAGCGTGGTTGTCCAGTTATGACGTCCTCCCAGAACGACCCCTCCCACGTGCACCCAGTGGCACGCACCCGTCGATCTCCACGATCGCTGTGTCCTACGGACACAGCTGATCACGTGCTGAGGTAAAAGGCCAATCACAGCGCCCTTTAACCACGTGATAAGCTGTATCCAGTGACACACCTGATCGCGGAGTGATCGGCAGCACTTTCACAGCTGTCACAGCATGAGGAAGATACTGCTGATAACTGACAGCTGTCACAGAGCAGATCAGCACTGATCATCAGGGCACCAGTGCCCTGCAGTGCCACCCAGCAGTGCTTTACAAGCAGTTGCGCCTATCAGTGCCCAGCAGTGGCGCCAGTCAGTGCTGTCAGTCAGTGCAGCCCATCAATGTCGCCCATCAGTGCCGCCTATCATTGACCATCATTGCTGCATATCAGTGCCTCCTCATCAATGCCCACCAGTGCCGCCTCATCAGTGCAGCCTATCAGTGCCCATCAGTGCTGCCTATCAGTGCACATGAGTGAGGAGAAAAATGACCTAATTGCTAAATTTTATAGAAACAAAGAAAAACTTTTTTTTCCAGATTTTTTGCTCTTTTTTTGTTTATAGATAAATGCAATAAAATATAAAATCCAGTGGTGATTAAATACCACCAAAATAAAGCTCTATTTGTGTGGAAAAAATGATAAAAATTTCATTTGGGTTCAGTGTTGCATGACCGCGCAATTGTCTTTCAAAGTGCAACAGCACTGAAAGTTGAAAATTGGCCTGGGCAGGAAGGGGGTAAATGTGCCCAGTAGGCAAGGGGTTAATTGAACAAGCTGAGGTTAAAAGCTGATTGGCTACCATGCACAGCCACACCAGATTCTGAGTGCACTAGTTTAAGTAAATCTATCTAAAGGGTCTCTGTTGCTCTCTCATCCAGAGTGGAGACACTCTAAGGCAGGAAGCGTATTATTGGCTGGCTCACCAGGTAAAAATAAAGGAAAAAAAAAGATTTAAAAAAATAAAACTAATGCAGCCACCACATTTAAGAACTGGTAAGCTGCAAACATATTACATTTTGACATTGAATTTATTGCCTGCTTTATCTGTCCCAGGTTTGGATAAAAAAAGCAATGTGTGGGGCTCCTATTGTATGTAACCTAGTTCCCACAGATTGACAATTTTTTTTTTTTACTTCCTAACAAAAGCAAACTGCACTAATCACTGACTGTTTTCCACAGGCTAAATGGCGCAGGCTGTGTGTAGAAGGCCCAGTGTCGCTGGATATGTTTGAACACATCAGCCTGATGACTTTGGATTCACTTCTGAAGTGCACATTCAGCTATGAGAGTGACTGCCAAGAGTAATAACTTTTATTTCTCCAGAAATACGTACTTTAAAAGATTTGAGCGTAGTACTATAGTAATACCTGTCTAAAAGCAAAATGTTGTGTAATAGGCATTTCCTTATATCTCAATTGCAGGAAGCCAAGTGATTATATTGCTGCAATTTATGAGCTCAGCAACCTCCTGGTAAAACGTGAACACTGTCTTCCACACCATTTTGATTTCATTTACCGATTCTCCTCCAATGGAAGAAAGTTCAGACAAGCATGCAAAACTGTACATGATTTTACTGCAGGTGTGGTACAACAGCGGAAGAAAGCACTAAAAGAAAAAGGGGCAGAAAACTGGACAAAGTCCAAGCAAGGGAAGACTACAGATTTCATTGACCTCCTGTTACTGTCAAAGGTGTGAAAGAAGTGCTTAGAAAATATTACTGTCTGATTTAGCAGGAACATAACTGCACTAGTCTCTTTCTGGTATTTTCATCAGTTTCAGAGCTCAGATATCTGATTCTTCCAAATTAAAGCTGAGCCTCATACAGATATATTAAAACGACCAATGCAGTTAGAGCGCATTTTTAAACGAATATATGAATTTATTTTCATATCGACCTGTTGTTATCCCTTGTACAGCAGCACTCAAATGAAGAAGAGGGGGCATTGCAAAGAGCCAGACACATGTATTTCAGTTCTGGATCTAGCAGCTTGTTTGGGGTTCAGAAATAAACGCTACTATCCATATTTTTAGAAACTAACTAAATGGAACCCCCCAAATTATCCTGAAAAGAAATTTTACTATTTGCACATAACATTGCCATAAAACCCCAATGTAATGATCAAAAACTGTAACAATTCCTGGGAAGATAAACATTCTTTTACAAGTATCCCTGTGCTTTTGTTATTCACATATGAAGAGATTTCAATTTTAGATTCTGTGTGTGGCCACTCTTTATCAGCACCATAGTGAAATCAGGGAAAAGAGCTCAAGTGTCATAATGTAATAAGAGAAAATGATAGGCTGCTCAGCTAAAACGATTGCAAATGCTTTAAAATGGCAATCAAAACCTGAAAGATGTGGAAGAAAGCGAAAAACTACCATTCGAATGGATAGAAGAATAGCCAAAATGGCAAGGACTCAGCCAACAATCAGCTCCAGGAAGATCAAAGAAGGTCTAAAGTTACCTGTGAGTACTGTTACAATTAGAAGACGCCTATGTGAAGCCAAGCTATCTGCAAGAAGCCCCCGCAAAGTCCCACTGTTGAAAAAAAGATGTGCTGAAGAGGTTACAATTTGCCAAAGAGCACATTGACTGGCCTAAAGAGAAATGGGGCAACATTCTGTGGACTGATGAAAGTAAGATTGTTCTTTTTGGGTCTAGTGGCCAGAGACAGTTTTGTCAGACAACCCCCAAACACTGAATTCAAGCCACAGTACACTGTGAAGACAGTGATGCATGGTGATCAAGCATCATGATATGGGGATGTTTCTCATACTACGGTGTTGGGCCTATTTATCGCATACCAGGGATCATGGATCAGTTTGAATACATCAGAATACTTGAAGAGGTCATGCTGCCTTATGCTGAAGAGGAAATGCCCTTGAAATGGGTGTTCCAACAAGACAACGACCCCAAACACACCAGTAAACGTGCAACATCTTGGTTCCAGACCAACAAGATTGACGTTATGGAGTGGCCAGCCCAATCCCCGGATCTTAATCCAATAGAAAACTTGTGGGGTGACATCAAAAATGCAGTTTCTGAGGAAAAACCAAGAAATAGAGAAGAACTGTGGAATGTAGTCCAATCATCCTGGGCTGGAATACCTGTTCACAGGTGCCAGAAGTTGGTTGACTCCATGCAACACAGATGTACAGCAGTTCTCAGAAACAGTGCTTATACAACTAAATATTAAGTGATTCAAAGGAAAGGAAAATCTTCAAACATTTTTTAGTTTATATAGTGAATGTGTGAGTTTATAAAGAAGAATACAAACATTGCTATTTTATTGAACAGTCTAATATTCACTTTTCTTCAATTTATTTAGAGGAACAACACAAATTTCATATATTTTTCTTCATGTTTTGATTTTGAATAGAATGTGTAGTGTTCCCAATGCATTTGTGTGTATGGAAAGGATTTTGAGCTTTATTCACTTTTTTCAACACACTGCTATTATTTTGAACACAACTATATATATATATATATGTTAGTCATATAAAAGATTCTGTGCACATTTAATTTATTTTTTCATCATAGGATGAAAATGGAAGACAATTGTCTGATGAAGAAATGAGGGATGAGGCTGACACCTTTATGTTTGCGGGTAACTGAATCAAAATTGTGTATTTTGGCTAGGTATGCAGCAACGTACAGAAATTGTTATTTAGATATACACCTTTATCTAGAGTTCATGAGTGAAGCCTGTTCCACTATTGCCCAAAGCAAGAGCTCTAGTTTCCCAAAAGGGTATTAGCAGTAATCCATGCCAGGACAAGGTCATCCAATGACTAAGGTGAAGATGCTAAGCTGCACGTGCAGCTGGAGTAGGGAGCAGGGTTATAGGAGAAGTATAACCCAAGCCTTTTTTGCTGTACTTCTCCTATGTATCACAGAAGTGCAGTTAATTTTCCGGTTCTGGCTCTGAGAATATCCCAACCATGTGGTCGGGATCCACCCAGATGCCTGACTGGCATCTGGCTCAGCCTCTCAGCAAGCCGTTGAGAGCCTGAACCCGCCTCTCCTGTCCCCTCCACAGCCTGACGCTCCAGTGAGTGCTGGAGGGGCAGAGTAGAGAGCCAGTGACTGATAGTCGACAGCTTTCTGCTGTCTAAGACCTGAGAGATCAGCAGTTTTTGATCACCCCAGTTCTTGGTCTTAGAGCAGGTGGGGGATAGCTGCAGCATTGGATTAATGCTGAAAGCAGAAAGTGCAGGGTCAGGAGGAGGACCAGAGAAGGTCTGGAGTCAACTGCCAGAGTCTGCTGAATGCTGAGACCAGGGGAGGCGGAGATGAGATGGTGCTGTGCCTGCACATAGAGACGCAGGATCTGGCAAAGGAATTCTGCCCCCCTCTCTGCTGCCCACTGCTGAAACAAGGTTGGGGGGCAGAGATGAGGGGGGTACCACTGCTGCAGGAGAGGTGCGAGGGTTATATGAAATGGCCTGGCAGGTTTTGTGATTTCAAATGTCACATGACAAAACTAAAAGGATAGAAGAGCATCCCGCCCTTACTCCCCAGTGGGTGCCCGAACTGAGAAGCAGGTCTGTTCTGAGCGCACGCCTGCCCCCTGTTCTCTTCCATTCACAGTAGGCTGACAGCAAGAAATCCCTCCAGACTTTAATATGGCCCCTGCTCTGCCTGACACTAATGACACTGCCACAGGTCCTGTCAGTAACAGCAACAAAAGAATAGGGTGCAGGCATGCTCCTATTGCATCCATCCCCCTCCCTCCACATAAAAACACTGAGCCCAGGGCAGCTGACAACACCTCCCATCCCCCTTGTCCTGGCCCTTGCTGTAAGACCTATTACCTCAATAGAAGTTGGCATGGTTTTCATTTTCATGACATGACAAAAAAATCCAATATTGTGGGAGTTGCCGTTCATATCTGAAACTGATTGCTGTTCGTCTCCTTGTTTATTTGCGTGGCTAGCAATATTTTCTTATGAAACTGACTGTTTGATTATCGGAACTACAGTATCTCACTGAAGTGAGTCCACCCCTCAAATTTTTGTAAATATATTTTATTCTCTCTTTTCATGTGACAACACTGAAGAAATGACACTTTGCTACAATGTAAAGTAGTGAGTGTACAGCTTGTATAACACTGTACATTTGCTGTCCCCTCAAAATAACTCAACACACAGCCAGTAATGTCTAAACCACTGGCAACAAAAGTGAGTACACCCCCTAAGTGAAAATGTCCAAATTGGGCCCAATTAGACATTTTTCCTCCCCGGTGTCATGTGACTCGTTAGTGTTACAAGGTCTCAGTTGTGAATGGGGAGCAGGTGTGGTAAATTTGGTGTTGTCGCTCTCACTCCTACTGGTCACTGGAAGTTCAACATGGCACCTCATGGCAAAGAACTCTCTGAGGATCTGAAAAAAGAATTGTTGCTCTACATAAAGATGACCTAGGCTATAAGAAGATTGCCAAGACCCTGAAACTGAGCTGAAGCACGGTGGCCAAGCCCATACAGTGGTTTAACAGGACAGGCTCCACTCAGAACAGGCCTCGCCATGGTCAACCAAAGAAGTTTAGTGTACGTGCTCAGCGTCATTTCCAGAAGTTGTCTTTGGGAAATAGATGTATGAGTGCTTCCAGCATTGCTGCAGAGGTTGAAGGGGTGGGGGGTCAGCCAGTCAGTGCTCAGACCATATGCCTTACACTACATCAAATTGGTCTGCATGGCTGTTGTCTTAGAAGGAAGCCTCTTCTAAAGAAGATGCACAAGAGAGCCCGCAAAAAGTTTGTTGAAGATAAGCAGACTAAGGATATGGATTACTGGAACTGGTACCATGTCCTGTGGTCTGATGAGACCAAGATAAATTTATTTGGTTCAGATGGTGTCAAGCGTGTGTGGCGGCCACCAGGTGAGGAGTACAAAGACAAAAGGGTCTTGCCTACAGTCAAGCATGGTGGTGAGAGTGTCATGGTCTGGGGCTGCATGAGTGCTGCCGACACTGGGGATGTTAGGAATGGACTGGCCAGCAATGGTGGGACTCACCTGCCTTTTGATCTGCAGTACCAGGGCTGGCCAGCGGGTGCTCCCAGCAATCAGAGACAACCTTTCAGCCAGCTAACACCTGGAACTGATGATGCTGGGGTATTTAAGGGATGGCCAGACCCACAGACTCTGCCTTGGTGTTGTGTTTGTCCTGGGCCCTGTATCTGTCCTGCATCCTGTTTCTGTCCCTCTGCCTGACCCTCTGTACTACGCTGCTTGTTACCTGTTTTGATCTCTGGCTTGTGACCCTGACCATCCCTCTGCCTGACCCTCTGTACTACGCTGCTTGCTACCTGCTGAACCTGGCCTGTGACCCCGACCATTCTCTGCTTGCTCCCCCTGTACCTACCTGCCCAATTGATATTGACCCGGCCTGCCTGACGACGCTTGCTTGTATGTACTGTTATCTGTGGGTGGTTTGGTTTGGTTTGTTTGCACTGTATTATGTTTAGTATTGCACTGCGTTTATGTTTGTATGGTTAGTGTTAATAAATTGTATTGTTTATCACATATCTGAAGTCTGCGTTTCCCTGCATCAGTCACACACCTCTGGTCATACCTGGGAGCCCTGACAGGGGAGCTACAGATCATTGAGGGAACCATGAATGCCAGCATGTACTGTGACATACTGAAGCAGAGCATGATCCCCTCCCTTCGAAGATTGGGCCGCAGGGCAGTATTCCAAGACAACGACCAGAAACACACCTCCAAAACGACCACTGCCTTGCTAAAGAAGCTGAGGGTAAAGGTGATGGACTGGCCAAGCATGTCTCCAGACCTAAACCCTATTGAGCATCTGTGGGGCATCCTCAAATGGAAGGTGGAGGAGCGCAAGGTCTCAAACATCCACCAGCTCCATGATGTCATCATGGAGGAATGGAAGAGGACTCCAGTGGCAACCTATGAAGTTCTGGTGAACTCCATGCCCAAGAGAGTTAAGGCAGTGCTGGAAAATAATGGTGACCACACAAAATATTGACACTTTGGGCCTAATTTGGACAGTTTCACGTACGGGTGTACTCACTTCTGTTGCCAGCGGTTTAGACATTAATGGCTGTGTGTTGAGGGGACAGCAAATTTACACTGTTATACAAGCTGTATGCTCACTAGTTTACATTTTAGCAAAGTTTCATTTCTTCAGTGTTGTCACATGAAAAGATATAATAAAATATTTACAAAAATGTGAGGGGTGTACTCACTTCTGTGAGATACTGTATATTCAAATCTTTAGAAAAATTCAGACCTTATAACGATTAAGTATGTGGCTTTCTTAAATACTTTGGGTTGAAAGTTTTATCACAGTCTACATAAACAATAATTTTATTCCATACTCATTGTGTTTTACCTATAATTAGGACATGATACCACAGCCAGTGGCCTGTCCTGGATTCTGTATAACTTGGCTCGTCACCCTGAATATCAGGACAAATGTAGGGAAGAGATCAGAGAGCTAATTAAGGAGAAAGACACATCCCACTTGGACTGGTAAGTACCTCACCTCGCAGCAAACAAATCATTAAGGGGGAATCTGTAATGGTTTAGGGTCAGTTTTAGTTTAGTTGTATTGTTTTGGTTTATACATTTCTAATCTGTTGTTTTATACACTCACCGGACACTTTATTGAGGACACCTGTTCAATTGCTTGGTAACACAAATTGCTAATCAGCAAATCACATGGCAGCAACTCAATGCATTTAGGTATCTAGACGTGGTAAAAACGACTTGCTGAAGTTCAAACCAAGCATCAGAATGGGGAAGAAAGGAGATTTAAGTGACTTTGAACATGGCATGGTTGTTGGTGCCATACTGGCTGGTCTGAGTATTTCAAAAAACGGCTGATCTGGTGGGATTTCACACAACCATCTCTAGGGTTTACAGAGGATGGTCTAAAATAGATAAAATATCCAGTGAGTGGCAGTTGTGTGGAGGAAAATGCCTTGTTGATGTCAGAGGTCAGAGAATGGGCAGACTGGTTGATGCGACATTCAGATGGTAGAGTCAGAATTTGGAGTAAACAACATGAGAGCATGGATCATTGCTGTCTTGTATCAATGGTTCAGGCTGGTGGTGGTGGTGGTGTAATGGTGTTGACGATATTTTCTTGGCAAGGTGTACCTAATAAAGTGGCTGGCGAGTGTGTTTTTTACTATACTTATACACTCTGCTTTAGAAGCAAATATTTAATGCATGACAGTGCAATCAATTTATTTGTTCTGGGACTTTGAATGAGGCACAACACACACGACCAATTAATAACTAGTTTCCAACATTGTTATTTAATAAATATAAAAATAAACTCCTCATTGCATACAAAAAGAGGATAACATGGTATCAAGCTGATTTGTAATGAATCTATATTAATGCATTTCACACATAATTAAATATACTGTTGACCATATACAATCCAGAAGTCAATACATAATTACACTAAAATTGCATCCAAAAACTCGATGGGTTTCGTGACTCTGTAGTCACTTCATCAGGAGTAGACGCATGTATAATATATATAGGTTAAAACATCAAGAATGTAGCATACCTAATGATATCTCAAAATACATAGAGTAATTCCAACCTCAGGGGTCACCAGTGGGACTCTTAATACTTACAAGTCAGCTAAGAATAGATATGACAATGTTTCCAAATGGTGATTGCCAGTGGAGTCTCACCAGGGAGCCGTGGAAGTAAGATTCCGCAAGAACCTAAGGGAACAAGCAGGAAGTAGATCCAACGCAGGTGTGCAATCCATGATGGCACCCAACATAGTTGTGATAGAAAAAAGTTTAGCTATGCATTATAGTGATGAATGAATAATAAAATCAAAATGGGTGATAAGCAACAAAAATAACATGCTGCAATATAGCAATAAATAGAAAAAACATATAGTAAGTATGTGAGGGTGAAGAAAACTGCACCTAGTGGTATAACGAAGGGAAAGGCATCTAAATCTCTAATCCAGTCCACAGAAAAAGGAATGTGCCAATAAAAAGAAATAGAGCCAAATGTAAAAACAAAATATAGGCAGCCAAAGCATGTTTAATGCATGACTAAGGATTCCAGACCACTATGTGCTATAAGGCCTCATTCACATGGGATGTGCTAAAGCATACATCTGTAGAGGACCGTGTTTACCCACACAGGGATGCACAGGTGTTCCATTGATGTCAATGGGGATGCAGACACAGAGTCTGCATGGACGCAGCTGCTGCTCCCAATCTGACATCTATGTGGGTGCAGGTGTATGTCTTCGAACTCGCACAGTGTGCATTTAAGGGCACACACCACGGATGTCCTATTGGGGGCAACAGCTGCGTCCATGCAGACTCTGTCTCAATTCACATCAATGGCACTGGCTGCAGGAGGATGCACGGAACACCTGTAAATTCTTATGTGGGTAAATGCGGCCTTCCACAGGTATATGCTTTAGTACACGCAGCGCTATTGTGTTCTGCTGGCTGGGAACACAATGATCAGTGCTGGCAGCTATAGCCGTCTGTGGTGATTACATTAAAAAACATTTGACTGGTTGTACTGAAGTCCAGCCAGCCTGTCTATAGATGAATCAAATCTTGGCCAGTTTAGCAGGGACTAGCTGAGATTCGATTAATCTATGGGCAGTTGTACTTAATCGCCTTCCGCCTGCCATATAAGGAAATGATGGATGGGCAGTGGTTCTCTCGTTCTGGGAGGATGTCGTATGATGTCCTCCCACTCTAACTGCACGTGCGCGCACCGCAGCGCGGTGATCAGTGGTGCGCTGTGTCCCTGGGACACAGCAGATCACCGATCAGTGGAAAGAGCCGATGACTTCGGCTCTGTTATTGTGATCAGCAATGTCCAATCACAGCTGATAGCATGTAAATAAGGAAATGCCAGTTATCGGCATTCCTCTCCTCACGAGCTGTTACACTGACAGCTTGTGAGGAGAGGAGAGCCGGCAATCGGCATTCCTCAGAGGGGACATCTACACTGATCATCAGGGCACTGATGATCAGTGCCCTGATGATCACTGTAGCCGCATCAGTGTCACCTGTCAGTGTCCATCAGTGCCACATATCAGTGCCTACCAGTGCACATCAATGCCCATATGAGCTGCCTTTCACTATCAGTGCCAGTCAGGGCCACCTATCAGTGTCAGTCAGTGCTACTACCTATCAGTGTCAGTACCTCCTAACAGTGCCGCCTTTCAGTGCCATATATGAGTGCTGCCTTTCAGTGCCCATCAGTGATGCCTGTCAATGCCCATCAGTGCCACCTACCAGTGCCTCCTCATCAGAGCAGCCTATCAGTGCCCATCACTGCAGCTTCATTAGCACACATCAGTGAAGGAGAAAAATTACTTATTTAAAAAATTTTATAACAGAAACTAAGAAAAAAACTTATTTTTTTCAAAATTTTCAGTTGTTTTTGGTTTGTTTAGAAAAAATAAAAACCAGAGAAGATTAAATACCACCAAAAGAAAGCTCTGTCTCAAAAAAATTATAACAATTTCATATGAGTACAGTGTTGCATGACCACGCAATTGTCATTCAAAGTGCGACAGCACTGAAAGCTGAAAATTGGCCTGGGCAGGAAGTGCCCGTTAGGCAAGTGGTTAAAGTAGAACTATAGGCAAAACTTTTTTTTATTTTTGGTAGGGTAAGGGAAAAACAGGGGCGGACTGGGTCTCATGATCCCCTATTGCCCCGGGGCCCCATGAGTTGTCAGTCCGCCCTTGGGGAGGAATATAACCCGTCAGATTTTTTTTTTTTATCTGTGTCCCATTGCGGAGATATCTCTTCACTTATCTCTTCACTTCCTGTCCCTTAGCCAAACCGCAAGTAGGAGGAATTCCCGGAAAATGAACTAAATTCCTTGTGGATCCCCAGGTCTCCAGAACTAGTGTCTCCATTTTCTGGGGACAACCCAAAATTTGGGATTTTCTTTTGCTTTTAATAATAATGGTAAACAGGACAAATAAAGAGGGTACAGACAATAAAAGCTGACAAGTGTTCTAATCCCCATTCACTCTATCCAAAATAAAAAAAAAAGTTTTGCCTTTAGTTATACTTTAAGGCACCTTTTGAATAGTTGAAACCTTGGACTCTGGTATCTGATAAGGTATGATAAGGTGTCTGCTTTGATGAGTCACATGAATAGAGTACTAACAATGGGATTAGTAGACTAGAGCTCCACCTACTGGCTAGATAGAGGACTGCATAAGCTGAAATATTTAATTTACAGTATATCAGAAAGAAAAGAGGAAAATACATGATTGTTTGATTTCCTCAGTACTGACTTTAATAGTAAAATATGTAGAAAACCACCATATATTCCCTTTATTGGCCTCCTGTCATGTGCCATCAAACTCTAGTAACGTTTATCTATATTCTACCTTGTTTGCACAGATTGTAGTAGGGAACATGGCTGGATCCAATGGGGTGGAGGGGTGGGCTGTGCCCCCCCCGATTTCAGTTGTGCCTCTACTCCAGGACACTGTGCCCAGACGCTAACTGCCTCTTCCAAGAATGTGACAAAGAAGGAGAACTGCGTAGAGTCCCATTGAGAGCTCCTGCAGCTCCAATGTAAAAGAATACAGTGTGGAATTAAAGGAAATCTTCTCCCCTGATCACAGAACCTCCACTCTATACTGAACGATGGATCTGTCAGCCCAGCAGTAAATAAAGCTGATCTGGAATGTGCACTGATGGTTCAGTAAATAAGGCTGTGTACACTGAAGGTTCTGCTATCAGGAAAGAAAGTTTACTTTAATTTAACCCTTTATTTTTGTGCAATTTATTGTTTGGCTACTCTTAGGCAAGCCATACATTATGCAATTTTCTTTTCTGCAACTACAGGTTGAAGGAGAAAACAAAATTGCTTGATTCCCTCATCAACACAGTCTGTGTTGATGGGGGAATCCCTCCTGCGGAGATAGTTTTCTGACAGTGGGATTTTTCGCAGCCATCAGAATACATTAATCTTTGCCTGGGACTATAGCCCATGTGAACAGCCACTATTGAAATACGCAGCATCGCATCGCTACCATCCTAGATTGTAAGCTCCAAGGAGCAGGGCCCTCCTAACCTTCTTGTATTGAACTGTATTGTCTCCCGTTTCATTGTAAAGTGCTGAGCAAACTGTTGGCGCTATATAAATCCTGTGTAATTATAATGTTAAATTAAATGTAGCCACCTTATCTTGTAATAGATCAGCAAGTATTTTGCTTAGCAGGACTTCTTCGGGTATTTTGCATAACTTGGATAGGCAAATCTGGTTTTCCCTTTTATTGAGCTGTGGTCTATTTGTGTTGCTAAGGAAAAATACAATGTAAATTAAAATATTGAAATATAATCTAAAAATATAAACTGTGCACATGCAAACAAATGCTAGCTATGCTAATCTACGTAAATGCTGAACATATAATGCTATTCAAACGACACATCTCAAAGGAAAAGAAAATGCTTTGGTTAGTCAGAGGCTTTGTTCTCAGAGTCATAGTTTGGAAT